TTTGGAATATTTCTATTGATGAATTATTGATTTTATGAGTTTTATTATAGTAAACAATGAGTACTTAACAGGAAAGAATAACAAAAATAAAGTATTGAGTTTTTAATATTTATTGCATGTTTATATAAAAGCATTAAACTTTTTCTTTTTTTTTTTTGTCTTTTTGAGACAGGGTTTCATATGTAGTTCAGGCTGGCCTTGAACCCACTCTGTAGCCCAGGCTGGCCTCAAACTCACAGCAATCCTCCAGCCTCAGCATCCTAACTGCTGGGATTACAGGCATGTGCTACCATGCCCAGCCTCAAAATTTTGAACATTGGCTCGTTTTTGGTGTACAAAGTCTAAAAAAGAACAACACACATAAATTCTTATATCAACTACAATAAAAATACCAGTAGTACTTCATAAAAAAAAAATCTTTAGTTCAGTTATCACACCTCAACTAGGCTACACATATGAAAATAGAGTACATTCCATACACATGTGTCGCTTACACTGACAGCACATGTGTTTTGCTTTCCTGGCCTTTTTGTAGGACATACTTAATGTCTCAGTGCTCTTGCTGTTTTGTCAGGAGGTTCTTACTGTATGTGTAGATTAGAGGAACATAAAATATCAAGAAAGTAAAGTATTAAATTCTTAATATGTACTCATTTAGAATAGACATCAAAATTTTCACATCAGCTGTGTACTTGCTTACAAAACCTAAACTATAACATCAGAAATAAATTCCTATATTAACTACAGTGAAAATACCAGTAGACTTCTACCACAAAAATAATCTTTGCTTCCATTATCACACCCAAGGCAGACTTCACACATGACAGCTACATGCTCCTTGCACATGTCTCCCTTACAATGACAGCATTTGTGCTTAGCTTTCCTTTCCTTTGTGGCAGTCTTGTTACCTCTCTTTTGTTAGGAGTTTCCTGCTATCTTGTACAACATACACTTAGTAGGGAAATAAGGTATCAATAAAATAAAATGCCAGATATGTAATGAGTGCTTAGAATAGACGTCAGCATTTTCACATCAGCTGTTAACTTGCTCACAGAACCTAAAAGATAACATCAAAAATAAAAAGTTATGTGAAGTACAATGTAAACACAAACAGCGTCTACCACAGAAATGAGCATTGCTTCAACTGTCATCCAAGGCAGTCTTCACTCATGACAGTTGCACATTCCATACGCAAGTATCACTTACACTGATAGCACATATGTTTTGTTTCCCTGTCCTTTCTCATAGGGCATGCTTGACTTCTTTTTTGTTTTCCTGTTTTTGTAGTGGGTCTTTGTGATACTGTGCCTGCCTGTTTACCTGCCAGCTCACTTACGTGCTCCACAATTTCTTTGCATCGTTCCCTGGACAGAGACGTCTTGGTTTTCCTTTGCTGTAAATGATGTCTTATGAGTTCCATTCCTAGTCCTCTTAAGAAAATTTCTCTATGATATTTTGCACTCATTTTCTTTTGAAACTGTCAAACTATTTATGCCACATATGTTTAGGATTGAGTAAAACACAACTATTGGGCAGTGATTTGTGTTTCAAGTGACATCACAGTTGCTGTATAACTCATCAGCAACATCTGCTCTACCTTTGGTTTTGTTGTTGAAAGTTTCCATTTTGTCAAGATTTCATTATCAATATTTCCATCATGGTGAAATGTCAACATCAGCAGTACCAATTTGTTTTTTTCTTTACCATATAGGAAGCCGGTGTTATATCTTTCTGAAGTCTAAAAATTGTACTATACAATTCTCTGTTTTGAAATTGCGGGATTTCGTTTGGAATTTCTGCTTTGTTCCTGGGTACAGTTCTTGCACTGGTCAACTTGTGCTTTTAGCAAAGTAATATCTATTGGAAACTATTAATACCAATTGTCAAGTGTCACATTCTGAATGGGTTGAGAGATAGGAGCAGAAAGTTTATTCACATCATTTGGTTTATTACTATATAAATAAGGACCAGAGTTCCAGGATAAATGTCTAAACTGAAAACAGGATAAGTCTTTGCATCTACAAGGGCATAAATTGTTATGCCATATTTTGGCCCATAAGTCTTTACATTTCTATGATTACCATAAAAAATCTGAGCTAAATATAGCAGACCTATGAATGCTTTCAGTTCAGCTAGTGAGGTGTCATAATAAACACAGTTTTCAATATGGGTAATGGTGCATATAGAACATTTTACTTGGATTTCAACCTTATGCGTTTAACAGCATCTTGTAGCATTTCATCTGTTAAAGTTTCCAATGAATGGTAGTGCTGGCATTCTGTCCGTTAAATTTCATGCCTGCCAAGATCTTCAGTATATTTTTGGATCATTCCTTTTGGTTTTGTGGCCATTTTGCAACATTTCAGCTAGTCAAATATGAACTCACATTGGTGTTTTCTTTGTCATCTGAATTACGAGTGTTTGCATTCCCTGTGTCCATATCAGTTGATTCTTGTTTCCTTTCACAGTCACAGGAACTTTAGCTCACATGACCAACGTCAAAGTCATGATCATCATCATCATCATACACCCACACCACTTATCTGTTAGGAAAGCATGGATCTAAGCATTGATAAAATAGTTGCTGGATTTTTTATAACATGACTACTTAATAGGTAGCAATTACGTACTTCTGTCAGTAGACTCCTAAATTCTGCTTATTTCTCTTTTAGTGATGTTAGCAGTTAATGTGTAGTGCTTAGATCTTTTAGTGTGACGGGTTGAGAAATAATTCTTTGATTCTATCAATCTTTTTTATTTATTACCTTTAATAATTGTAAACTAGAAAGCTTCCCTTCATCTGCTGTTTGGTTTACAAATAAGTGATACAGTTTGAATGGAAAAAGCAGGATAAGTGCCAGGCATGGTGGTGCATACCTGTAATCTCAGCATTTGAACACTGAAACAGGAGGGTCGTCACATGTTTAAGGCCAGTCTGGCCTATGCAGTGAATTCAAGGTCAGCCTAAAATATGCTGTGAGACTCTGTCTCAAAAAGAAAGGAAAGAAAAAGTAGGATAAATACTTCATTAATATGTTTCAGTCTGTTACAGTTAATTTTTTTGTAATTGATGTTCAGATTGTCCTATTGATATAGGGGAAATGCTAGATGTCAAGTACTGATTTGTGTCCCTTGAAGTTGAAGAATGAGAGATATATCTCAGTGGCACAGCGCCTGCCTTACAAATGTAAGGTCATGAGTTCAATTCCTGGTACCACACACAAAAAAAGACTCTCCTGAAGTTGAAAAATGAATTCTAAGGAACAACCCAAAAGTAGGAAAATTTATTTATTATATTAGGGAGAAAAGGAATGCGGAGTAGGATAGCTCCCAAGAGACAGCAAAATCTATAGCAAAATGATGAGGCAGGTACAACATGGGTCAAAGTTCTGATCAATAAGACTGCCAATATATTTGCTTGGGCACTATTGATCCAATGGTCACAAGGGTACACGGGTGACATCATTAACCTGGGTCAATAATCTGTAGTCTTAGTCTTGTCTTTAGTTTTAATAGTCTTAGTAGATGGGAGAGGATGGCCCACCCCAATGAGATATTGGGAAATCTCAAAAGGGTGATACCAATAATCCCAAATCTTCATTCATCCCTTAGGGAAGTATGTATAACTAGCCATTATAACTTTTAATCTTCAGGTGCACCTCCAGCTACAGTCCTGATGCATTCTCATCGTTTGCACTTACTCCATAGAGGGCCCAGCCCTGTCTGACTGCCTACTATATTTCCTCCTATCTTAGCTGTCCCTAATGCTATCATGGTCAGTGGATACCTTTCAAAGTTAGACCCTCAGTGTTTTAACAGACCCTAGTTGTCTTTGATAACTTTCTAATAATGTTCTTGTGTCGTCCAGTATATGTTGAATCTCAGGTTTAGAACTAATTGTCCAAGGATATGTATGGTATTTAGAGATAATTGTTACTGTTTTACCTTCTTCTTTTTTCTGTTTTTATAGTAGTTTACTGTACTTTTTAACTTTATTATTTTCTTTAGTTCTGGAGATACGAATTTTCCGATTTGTTTTACCCCTTTACGCTATGACTTTAGGCATTTAGGGAATTCTTTTTCTCGTTTTGATTCTGATATATAATAAAACAAGTTTTTGTTTTGTTTTTTTTTGTGTGTGTGTGGTACAGGAAATTGAGGCCAAGGTCTCATGCTTATTAAGCATGTGCTGTAGCACACAGCTACATGCCTACTTCCCTCTGTCCCCTTTTTCAAATTTTATTTTGAGACAGAGTCTTGCTAAGTTACCCAGTCTGTCTTTGGATTTATGATCCTTTTGCCTCAGCTTCCTGAGTAACTTGGATTACAGGTGTATGTCACCATTCTGGGCTTACTTTTTATGTTTTTGTCATATTTAGCATTTTTGTTTGGAGTGGATGGATAACTTTTTTAATTAATTAAATGACCCTTCCGTAAATTTCCTCTATTACTGTTCCATTTATGGAACAATATTCTCTTAGTAGGTACTTCATCAGTGAATGCTATTTCCTTTTTTAGTGTTTCAAAAATATTTTCTGTGGATGCTCTCTAATTTTTATTAGAATGTTAATGTATAATGTCTAAGGTCAGTTTTGCTTCTGCATATTTGACATATTTCAGTCTGTAATCAGAGTACAAAAAGGATTGCAATTTTTTTCCCCTTTCCTGATTTCACCATTTTTAGCTGGAAACAGGAGCAAAAAAATGCAGAAAGATTGCTGTGGAATTGATTGAATTTGTAAGGGCTGAAATTAAAGTAGTCAAATGAAAAAACTGGTTTTGCCTTCTAACATTCCTCGTAACTCATAGATTTTGTGAATCTGAATTCTGTTATTTCTTTTTTTCTGTGTGGCTGAGGGAGGCATATATGCTGCAGTTCTATAAAATATGCCAGGAAGTTTATCCTAGTGCTCTTTAGAAAACAGAAGGAAGACAATGAAAATTTGGGCACACAGTTCTTGCTAAGCCCTAAAATATATCGCTTTTATTCACCCATACAGAAAACAAGCATGAGGCCAAGAGGAGGCGAACAGAGAGAGTTAGGAGAGAGAAGATAAATTCTACAGTAAATAAAGATTTAGAAAACAGAAAGAGGTCTCGAAGTAACAGCCATTCAGATCATATCAGACGAGGAAGAGGAAGACCTAAAAGTGCATCTGCCAAAAAACATGAGGAAGAAAGAGGTATGAATAAATCTAAGCAGCTTTTTCTCAAGTATTAAATTGATCAGAGATCTCAGATAGTAGTGAAGAAAGTGGAGGCCTTGAGCTCCTGTAGTTAAATAATAAGTCATCTTTTAGTTTGAAAGCATTCCCTCTGTGGTAGATGCTTAATTTTAAAAAATACAGAAATTCTTAGTGGAACCCTAAAGACTTCAAATAAGTAAAATCTAGTTTGCTATAAACTGATGGTAGTAGAGTTCAGAGGTAATAATTCATATTGGACATCTTTGAGAAGCCTAATAAACTTACTGTAGTTTTTTTTTAATAGACAAGACCAAATTAAGACTTAATTTAAAACTGTTATACTATGAATTTAAAACATTTACTATTTAAATTTTCTTGATATGAGTTTTTAAATTGCATATTGGGAGGATTTGTGTGTTCCTACATTGAGGCAGCTTTTGCATAGTTAGGTAAATTCTTCCTGATCAGAGTGAATTTCTGTTTCTTCCTATAGGCATTCTCCTTTGTTCTTTGACAAGTAATGTGTCTACCAATGACTGGTTTTTAGCTGTTAAAACTTCAGCTTTTCTTTTTCTAAAGATATCTTTATCTCATATGTATATATATCTTTTAAAAAGTTTTATCACAAAAAATTTCAACAAAGAATAACAGGATAGCATAATGTACCTCTCTATGCCTATGAATATCCTTCTTAAAATGACACTTTCAGCTTGGTACAGTGGTGTGTGCTGATAGTCCCACCTACTTGGGATGCTAACAGGGAGATCACTTGAACCTGGAGATTTGAGAACAGCTTGGGCAATATAGTAAGATCCTGTGTAAGGGGAGGGAGTATTTTCAAGACAGTAATTAATGAAAAAAGGAATAATTGTTCTTTATAATTCTCTAAAAACTGCTGTCAAAATTATTTCATCTTGGGCTGGGGATGTAGCTCAGTGGCACAAGCGCCTGCCTGGCAAGCTCAGTGTCCTGAGTTCAATTCCTAGTACCAAAGAAAAGCTGGGTGTGGTGGTGCACACCTGTAATCGCAGCACTCGGGAGGCTGAGGCAGAAGGATTGTTGTGAGTTCGAGGTCAGCCTGGGCTACAAAGTAACCTCAAGGCCAGCCTACACTGCATAGCGAGACCCTGTCTCAAAAAGACAAAAAACAAAACAAAATAAAATTATTTGATCTTCAGTGAAAGAGATTTATGATCTTTAACATCATTTGTATTTTGCTTTGCTTTTCTTCAGATATTTAGTCTTAGGAACTCAGTTGTTTTCTGTGTAAATGTAAGTTTCTGTTGAGACACAGAATTTTCTACTATTTACCATTTGCTTTGCATGTTTTTATTTGAATAAAGACCTGCTATTGATGGCGGCCAGGTGTAACTAACTATATTGTCCATTAGGGAAAATAACTTCACAGGTGTCATGGGTTTGTATCATAGTTACAGTTACCTTAATGTGTGACTAAAGAAATAAAGTTTATATCATTATGATGTTGATATAATTGACTGTATCCTGTGAAGGCTGTACTTAGATACTCTTTAATTTTTGAATACTTCTTACTATTTTTTTCGCTTGTGTCAGAGAATTTGAGTTATTTGATTAGTTGAATGTGTTTCTTTAATAATGAGATCATCAGAAAGTCTATCAGGGACTATTTTAGAAGGGACACTGGGTAAAGAAGTCAACAGAGAAGAAAGAAAAGAGAAATACTGGTTGATCCAAAAACCAGAATATTCTTTTCGGTTGAAGTAAAAGGAATCTAACTGAAAGAACAGAAGGAATGCTTCTGCTGGTCAGAGGAGATGATGACAGTTGTTTTAGTTGGTTTATCAAAGTCTGTCCAACTGTGCTAGGACTTTATACATATAGGCTTGAATTTTTATTTCATGATTAAATTGAAAAAAGGATTTATTTGGCTGCAGATGTTTTTCAGGCATTTTCAGTTTACTGTAGAAAGTTTTTAAGAAAGCTATTTCTAGAATAAGATATGCTTTTAAATTTTTTGGATACAAATTGCACAAACTAGCTCAGCGCTATTTTGTAGCATAAAATGGAATATTTTAATGTAGACAGGGGAGTCAGCAAACTTTTCCCACAAAGAATAATACAGTAAATACTTTAGGCTTGTGGACCATACAGTCCTTGTCACAGCTGCTCAGCTCTGTCATTGTAGCTGTAAAGCAACCATAAACTATATGTAAATGAGTGAGCATAGTTGTGTTCCAGTAAAACATTATTTTAAAAACAGGCAGTGAAATTTGGCACCCAGATTGCTGTTTGCCAATCCTGATGCAGACTATTGTTCTCTAAATAGAACATGGATAGGAGCTACGAGCTTTGAAATATCTGTATATTTTAGAATTCTTTGGTAATACTTCCTAAGGCTAAGTATCTAATTTAGTTCTGTTTTTATTCTCTGCTCTTAAAACATTTAAATTTTGGAGCAAGCTTTAACTGTTTTGTAATATGAACTAGGGAAAACCTGATAATGTGTCTAAGAAACAAAATTTTTTAAAAACATCAGTATGGTTTTCTGTTTGAAAAGAATAGGAAAAAAGAAAAATAAAGTCCCCTATGTCCTCAGTTTATCTTTTGAAAAAGGTAAGATGAAGCAGTCTGTAACCTAGGGAACACCAGGCATTATTGAGAGCAAGGATATAACACTAAGCCCTAGAAAATATAAGTTCTCTGATTAGGTTTACTATATCTTGCAGGTAAAAGAGATTAAAAGTAATTTCTATAGGGAATCTGAAGAGCCTAAGAGAAAAGGCCTAAAATAAAAATACGTACTGTTGTAAGCAATTTCACAAAGAAATAGCCTAGTTAGAATTTTGTGATCTGATAACTATAGTTATCTCTCTTCAGGTGCACATGCTTATAATCAACTTTTTTGCTCACACTTCTACATGTGAACGTATTATCAGGAATTACCTAGATATGCAGAAGAAAAAATTTATTGTGAAAGACTGAACCTAAATCCCAAGGAGAGAAAAAGTAATTTGGAGAAAAGTTTTTGCAGGGAGAAGAAAAAAAAACTATCATTACTCTCCTTAGCAAAAGAATGTATGATAAAGAAAGATGGGATTTGAAAGGCAGTTGTGCAGGTCAGGAAGGTACCTGGAAAATGAATCTCAAAATAGGAGCTTTAAAATATATTTTAAAAAATTCAAACATGTGATTAACAGAAGAAAAGGAAACCAAAACCAATAGAACAATTCCAGAAACTATAACAGTAGGAAAAGAGATGAAAAGAAAAAAAGGAAAGGAAAAGATATGAAATTTAGAGGACCAGCCTGAAGTGTAACATCTATAAATAACTGAAGTTTCAGAACAAGAGCATAGAGGATGGTGTAGAAGGCAGTTTTCAGTGAAATATTTCAACAGAATTTCCTAAGCCTGAAGGACATTGAGTTTCTATATTAAAAGGACCATGAAACTCTTGATCCAGTGGATAGTTAAAATGGAAGTGATAGGGCTGGGGATTTAGCTCAGCGGCACAGCGCCTCACCGGCAAGCGCAAGGTTGTGAGTTTGATCCCCGGTACCGGAAAAAAAAAACAAAAAAAAAAAGAAAAAATGGAAGTGATGTCAAAGCATATCATTCCATATCTTTGGTTAAAGAGAAAATTTTGTAGGTTTTCGGGGGGGAAAAAGATGAATCAAAATGGTATTAGAATTAATACAATGGAATAGTGCCTAGCAATCAGCAGACTATATGAATTAATATTGACTGATAAACACACTGAGCCAACAAAGGTAGGCACAAAAGAATACATGATCCTATTTATTCAAATATTTAAAAAAAGACAGTGAATGTATGGTAATAGAAGTCAGTACAGTGGTACTGGTGGAAGTCAGGGTTGACTAGAAAAGAGCATGAAGGATTTTCTGGAGTGAAGGAAATTTTCTGTGTTAATTGTGTTTTGAGTTACATGGGTATATGCATTTGTCAGACTCATTTAGTTATCTATTTAGAGGATCTGTGTATGTCACTGAATATAAAGTTAGCAGTAGTTTTTTAAATATCTATAAGAAGGTTTTGGGTTTTTTCAACAGTAGGGCCAGCCAAAAGACAGTTTTTGCCTTACCAATTCTGAGGGGAACCCTACAAGTTTTTGCTCAAGATAAACTGAATATACTTTCTGATAATCAGTGTTTCAAAAATTTTGCTACTCATTCTCCTTTTCTCAAGAAGCTACTGCAAATTACATACCACCAAGATGAAGGAAGTCAAGGAAGGTACTGGAATCCAGCATAGAAAGGACCTAACAGGAGGAGGGAGATAAGAAGTTCCAGTGTGATGTTGAAGAAGATGAATTGTGCAGTAGGCCTAGAGAGCAATGATTTCAGATTGGAGCAGGCTGGAAGACTTGGAATGATTTCTTCAAAAAGATAAAGCTGATAAAATACCTCATCTGTTTTAACATCCTGACCAATTTCTACAACTAGGAAAGAGTTGGAGTTGAATTTGAAATGCAAACTAAGCAAATAAAAAGTGAGAATCCCTTCTGGGAAAACAACATGCAGGAAAAATGACTCTCATAATCATGGTGATTTTGAAAATTGAACTGAAGTTCAACATTCAGTTGAAAATTGATGTTACTGAAATTGTGATTTAGCGAAAATGAAAAGCTGACAGGATAAGCAGAATTTTTATGGTGGGGCAAGAGATGCAAAACAAACTGGCTGTGGTGGCACATACCTGTAATCCCAGCACTAGAGAGGCTGAGGCAGGGGGATTGCCTGAGTCAGAAGCATCATGGGGAGACCAAGGCCAGCCTGGACTACAGAAGAAAGCTCATCCAGCAGTACATATGGACACCTTGTCTCAAAAAACAAAACAAAAGAAAAACAAAAGTAGAGCCAGGCGTGGTGGCGCACACCTGTAATCCCAACACTTGGGAAGCTGAGGCAAGAGGATCGCTGTGAGTGCAAGACCAGCTTGGGCTACATAGAGTTCAGGGCCAGCCTGAACTGCAGAGTGACACCCTGTCTCAAAAAAAAAAAAAAAAAAAAAAAAAAGAGATGCAAAACAATTAAATCCTAAATTACTGCAGTAGACAGTGAATATGTAATGCTTAAAGCCTCTTAGGTACAAAATCTTAAAAAATGTTAGTGTCAGGGTTCTATAAAAACAAAAGGAGAAACTGAAAAAAACAATCTAGAAAGTAAGAAATGTACATGGGAGCATGGACTTCTGTTTTTTACAAAGTTTTGTGAAAAATGATTTGACTAAATTACATGTGTGTTTAACCTGGATTAAAATGTCAAAACAAAACAAAACAAAAAAAACCCAAATAAAATTAGAATCACAGTACAGTCTGAAAACAATAATTTGGAGAAATATACATAAAGATGTTAATTGTAATTTCAGATGATTCGTGATTTAATAGGGGCTTTTTCTTTTTCAATTCTTCTAGGAACTTGGATTCCATTTGTAATTGTGAGGGGAAAAATAGAAATAAATGTGGTTATTCTTACTTCCTGCAGCAGGGCTAAAGAAAAGATGTTAGTATGTTTATTAAGTAACCATTGATGTTCAAAAGGGACCATCTTCTAAGATGAGAAATTTAATTTTGGTTGAGGTATTTCATACTAGTGAGGACAAAGAAATACATGATATTCTTGAGAAATGTGTAGCTATTAGACTATGTATTTATAAAGCTATATAGTCACTATCTCATCTTTATTTCAGTACCTCTGTACTTTTTTAAAAATTTCACTTTATAGTATAACATTATGTGTCATAATATGCATAATACTTACTGTCATTTGAAAAAATACTTCAGAGCATTAAAACATTTTAAAAATGATTGCATCTACTGCCTTCATATTAAGCTTTTCCTTTTTCTTTTAACAGAGAAACAGGAAAAGGAAATTGACATCTATGCTAACCTCTCTGATGAAAAGGCTTTCGTGTTTTCAGTCGCCTTGGCAGAAATAAATAGAAAAATTATCAATCAAAGACTTATTCTCTGATCCTTGTCTGAAGAATCTGTTGAAACTTCCTTCAGGATTACATCAGCAAATTCTCAAAGTGATGGACTCTCAGGAGCATTCTGACTGCATCAATAAGGGGCATTGATTTTTTTTTTATTTATCATTTAGCCTGTGCCACACTTTTGGAGCAAAGCCGTATGCTCGGACTGTTCTGGGATTTTCTTGTTTACCAAGGAATATTGTCAGTGTTTTGTGTTGGGATATAAGTAGGGGTATTTGCAAAACCAAACCAAAATGTTGGATGGCTGGCTGTTAAAGATAAAAAGGGTCAGAGTAGGTGTGCAAGTATGAAAACAAAGGAAATGAAATGCTCGATAGTTTTCATGTTTGGCACCAGAGATGCAGTATTTTAAATACTATCAGAAAGAGTGATGTTTAAATATATACGTATACAGCAGATTTTCAGTACTAGCAGGTTGCATATATACAGTTCATTTACCTTTAATAAATTGGCAACTGGTATTTTATTGAATGGGGAATTAAGAATATAAGCTGTAAATTTGTCCTCAATTGATTTTTTTTTTCCCTAGGCAATTTTTATGACAGGTATGAGTTATATTTTTAGATATACTTTCTAAACAGTTTGGAAGTTTGGGTGCTATATGAAGAAAACATTTAAGGATGTATTGTACTTCAGATGTAGACACCTTGTTTTATTGAATGTAATTTATTTATTGCTTACAAAAAACTTTTCTCAGAATGGTGCCTGTTAACCTAAACTTAGAATATATTTATTACATGCAAAATATTTCTTAGATAGCCACTTACATAAGCAGTAATGTTTCATCTGAGTGGATGTACATTTATACATCCTGATAATTATTTAAATTGTTACTTAACCTCACTGAAAGAAAAAAAATAAATCTTAATATTAAAACTAAATAGATTAAATATTGTGGCATAAGCATTTTGTTCTAATGAAGTTCCTAAATATATTTCAGTTCTCAGTTTTTGTTTTTTCTTCTGGTACCAGGAATCGAACTCATGACCTTGAGTTTGGCAGGCAGGCGCTTTTGCCACTGAGCTAAGTCCCCAGCTCCAGTTCTCAGTTGTTCTAATGCCAAATCATAACCATTTGTGGTTGATGTGTAGTAAGTGGTTTTGTATTATGGCATCCCATTTTTCCATGTTCAGAGTTGGCAGAAATTCCTCTTTTCATTTCCTTCACTTCTAATTTGATGTCCCAAAATCTTACTAGGAGTCAGCAGTTAGGCTTTACCCCTATAGTTAAGAGAATCTCCCTTTAAAAAAAAACAAACATATATTTATTTTTAATTGACAAATAATAATTGTACATCATGGAACATAGGGTTATTAGCATATCCATCACCTCAAACATTTATTATTTCTTTGTGTTGTAAACAGTTAAAAATCTGTTAGCCATTTTGAAGTATACTGTTGATTAATTATTGTCAACCATAATTGCCTTTCAATTTCAACAGTAGCATTGTCTACTTGGTCTTTTTATCTAGTATCTCCTATCACCTTCCAAAAGAAAACAGGTCTACTTTTTTCCCCATCCTTTCTTTAAATTGGCAGAGGGAGTTTAAAAGGTACTCTACATAGAATGTAGAATTTTCCTAAGGAGTCCTTTTCTCTTAATCTTTGTGTTTACCTGCAAGCACTTGTATTTATTTCAAGCTCCTAGTAATAAAGTTTTCCCATGATTGTAATGTGATTTTATTTTTGAAATATACTATAGGAAAACTTTTGATGTTGAGCAAGAAAGCTTAAAAGTAATATCTAAGAACCCTTTGGAACATACTGTATATGTCCTCAGAAAAAGGAAGAATACCTTGTGGAATACACATCTCTTGAGAGAATTTACTGCTATCATAGTCAGTGCATTTAAAGCTGAGGACCCTTAGAGGATAGTACTGGATGTTAAAATACACATTAAACACACTGAAGGAGATACTGACGAGCTTGCCACTTAGAAAAGTATTTTACTTCAAATGCTCATAATCTGAAATTGTTTGGCTGAGGTGCAGATTAGGTTTTCCAGGTGTATGGCATGTCTCATTTAACCAGTTTCTTTAAAACATGTCTTGTCTGGTAGATACAATTAAAAGCTTTCTTATTACAAAGCTAAAAAATTTGTCTAGACATATTGTAAGGGTCCCAGAAAATAATACTGTCTTGGTCAATGGATGTCTTAAGAGTACAATTGCAGTTCTTCAAATACTTGATCCAAAATTTGTTCTGCTCTAGTCTTTGTAAATTGTATGATTATACAAAATGTCCTGAAACTGTTCTATGATTAGATTAGGTCTGTTGAAGGTACACTTTTTTTTTTAAAGACGGGGTCTTGCTATATAGTTCATATAGTTCAGGCTAGCCTCAAACTCAGGGATCCTCCTGCTTGAGTGCTGGGATTACAGGTGTGCGCCGCCACGCCCAGCATGGTGGTTTTTTTGTTTTGTTTTGGTACCAAGAATTGAACTCATTTTTTTTTTAGTTTTTTTTCTTTTGGTACCAAGAATTGAACTCAGGACCTTGCACTTACTGGGCAGGCGCTATGCCACCGAGCTATTTTCCCAGCCCCCAGCATATTTATTTTTAAATATGAGCAACATGACATAAAAGTACTTTGAGAGAATTTGGAGCATAGGCTAAACTAGACAAACTTTAAATTTGAAACTTTTCCCCTCCCACTAACTCCATGCTATTACAAAATATTAGGGGGAACATTTTAGCAGTTTAATCTTAAAATTTGGTTTTGTTGTTTATTAGTTTCATACATGAACTTTTAAAATACTTTTATGGGCAAGGAAGTCAGGTGATATTTAAATGTAAATTATCTAAAAGCAAAAGAAACACTGCAAACTATTTCTAATGTAGCATCAGTGGAAATGATCAAACAGCTTGAGATTTGTAATCTCATGAGAAAAAATTTATACTCACAGAGCTGGGAATGTGACTCAGTGGAAAAGTGCTTTTTCTCTTCCCTTTTTTATTAGTGTATGTTTGCAGTACGTAATAAATACCTTCATTGTGGGGAATTGGTTCTTGTACATATTGTATCTTGGTCCGTTTTACTTCCCCTTCTCCCCTCTCTCCTGTAGCCCCCAGCCCCCAGTAAGAGTACTTGCCTAACATACATGAGCCCAGGGGTTCAGATGCCCAGCACCAGAACCCCCCCCAAAAAATTACAAATGACTTAAAAATGTAGTCTGAGTACAAGCACATTTCCTTAAATTTCAGAAAGCACCATTTTACATCCAAAAAAATAATTGTGTAAGTGGTATTTTCCTAGGAAGTCAAATTGAGTGTTTAATTTCCTAAAGTAGTAATTGCCCTTGATTCTTTTTCTGATGGTAAAAATGAATTCACAGAGTACTTTGTTTGCCTTTCAACCTTTGTTTTTATTTATCTTTTAAATTTGGAGGTGTTGCCAGGCGTGGTGGCACATACCGGTAATCCTAGCACTTGGGAGGGAGGCTGAGGCAGGAGGATCATTGTGAGTTCAAGGCCAGCCTGAACTGCATAGTGAGGCCCTGTCTCAAAAAGACGACAAAAAAAAAAAAAAAAAATTGGAGTGTTAAGCAATATATTTAATATAAAAATGTTAATCACATAATTCTTTCCAAATATACTCTAGATGTAAGAAGTCACAATGTCATTTCATTCCCCCTGATGCTGGAGGTTGAACCCATGGCCTTATGCATGTTAAGAACGTGCTGTACAGCCGGGTGTGGTGGCACACGCCTGTAATCCCAGCACTCGGGAGTATGAGGCAGGAGAATCGTCACACCAGCCTGGGCTACAAAGTGGAGCTCAAGGCCGGCCTGAACTGCGTAGCGAGACCCTGTCTCAAAAAGACCAAAAAAAACCAAACAAACAAAAAAAAAAGAATGTGCTGTACCACTTAGCTGTGTATCCCCGGCATTTTACTCATTTTTAAGGCATTTCGGGGTTTTTTGTTTGTTGAGTTGTAGTTCTTTTGCTGTAGATATTAACTCCATTTCAAGTATATGGCTTGCAAATATTTTCTCTCATTCTGTGGGTTGCCTTTTCACTCTGTTGATTGCTTTTAAATTTTGGTTAATTTTAGTTCTTTTGTTGCTTTTGGTTTCATGTCTTACTGTCAAATGACATAAAAACTTTCTTCCCCATACCGGCAAATGTAATGTATTTTTCCCTAAAATACTGTTTTGCATCATTCTTTGAAATTCATTCCTAAATTAATTTTATTTCCATGTGAACTCTGTTTTGGTTTGATGCCTTATTTTCTTGGTAGCCACAGATTTTTCTAGTATTTTCCATCTTTTTAGCCTTTAAACTTTGTATTTTTGTAAACAAATCTCTGTGCACTTAAAAATATTCTATTATCACAAGCTTTATTTTTACATTTGGAGGTACTGTATGTGTTTATATATTTAACTTGCTTTTTCCCTAATTCTTGTGCTGTTTTAACCCAATTATTATAATCTAAATATTAGTATTCATTGTCAGAGACTATAACTGCAATAATGGGTATATATCAAGTGAACTTTCCATAATTAAATATGTAACAGAAGATCTAGACCCAAGTGAAATAATTCTTTTTATCGTAGTCAGAAATTTACCTTTTGTTAAGGAATCTTAAGTATTTTATCCTCTAATTGAGAGATCTGTTTTAGTTTGCTGGTTTTTGTATTTTGATGTGTGTCAGTTTACAGTCTGTGCCTTTTCTGTTTCTTGCCTTAACACACTGGCTAGAATTTCTGTTAACAGTGTTGAGAAGGATTGGTGAGCAAGGAGATCCTTGTCTTGCTTCCAGTTTCCAGTTGTAGAGGGGAAACATTGTCTTACACCCTTAAGTATGATATAACTAGTTTTTTCCTTTTGAAAAAAAAAAACCCTTTATGAGACTGAAGGAATTTCCTTCTATTTTGCCTGTCCTGAGTTTGTTTTTTGTAGTTGCTGGTAATTGAAGCCCAGGGTCATTGCACTGAACTAAATCCCCAATACCTTTTATTTTATTTTTTGAGATGCAGTCTTGCTAAGCCATTAAATTATACAAGCTAGGCTCAAACTCATGATCCTCCTGCCCCAGCCTCCTAGAATGCTGGTGGTAATTCCTGGTGTGTAGCACCGAAACAGGATTGTAAGTGTTTATCATGAACAGGTGTTGAATTTTGTGAGGCGCTTTCTCTGTATGACTGATAATGATCTTTCCCACCTTTTAGGATGTTGAGATGGTGGTTCACACTGACTTTTGATTATTGAAGTCTGCCTTACATTTGCAGGGTAAATCTCACTTGGTTGGGTTCCGTTAGGATTTTTGTAAATTAATAGATTCAAATTTTTAATATTGAGAATTTTTTTTTTCATGAAGGTTATTAGGTTATAGATGTATGTATTTTTGGATTCAGAATTAGGTGAGTTGGAAAGTATTTCTTGTTCCTTTTTTCTGGAAGAGAATGTGTAGAATTTAAGTATTTGGTAAAATTTGTCATTGAAACCATCAAGGGCATAGCAATTTCTGGTACCAGGAATTGAACTTAGGACCTTGCCCTTGCCAGGCAGGAGCTTATGCCGCTGAGCTTATCCCTGGCCCGAAGCAATTTCTGCTTGAGAAAGAGTTTTACTATGAATGCAACTTTATTGTTATTGAGTAAGCTCAGTGATCTATTTGGGCAAGTTTTGTGATTAAGAAATTTTGTCCGAATTGTTCAATTTATTTGTGTAGAATTGTTTGTATTACTTCATCTTGTGTCATTGGCATCAGTGGTATTCCCTCCTTTGTTCTGATATTGGTAATTTGTGTCTTCTGTCAGTCTAGAGGTTTATTAGTTGTATAGCTGTTTTCAGAGAACTAGCTTATACATTTATTGATATTATGGGTTTTTCTGTTTTAAGTTTTATTAATTTCTAATCTACTATTTGCTTCTTTCTACTTGTCTTGGGTTTTCTTCTCTTTTTATAGTTTCTTAAGATAGAAGCTTGGCTTGTTGATTTCATGCTTTTCTAACAAACATTTAATGCTATAAATTTACTTAAACACATATATTTCTTTTAGCTCCTAAATTTTGCTGTGGTATGGTTTCCTTTTTTAATTGTGGATATTTTCTAATTTTCCCTGATAGAATGTGAAATTTATAAATTCCTAATTATTCAGAGGTTATTGTAGTTGTCTTTCTGTTAATGTTTATTTTTGTTTTTCATTACATTTAGATAACATATTTCATTTGATTTCAGTTCTTTTAAAATTGTTAGCATTTGTTAGGGATATGAGGCTGTCCAACCATTATCCAGGAGAGTGTGCCGATAAATGGCTTCCAGGGAGAAGCTGGGAGTTAGGCCCTTAGCCCCTTCTCTCACTGACATGGCACACATAGACTCCAGCTTGCATCTCTTTGTTCTCTGCCCAGCAGGGAAACTTGCATCAAGTGCCTTCTATTCTTTTTTCTTTTTCTAATTTTTTTAAGAGAGAAAAAACACTAAAAACTATGATATAAAATTTCAAAACAAGGTAGTAGGAGAGAAACAATGGTTAGTACATTGCTTACTGTTACCTTCAAAGTGGTTGTTCAGATTACAAAATATAGGCATGAAAAATTGACCAAACGATACAAGCACAAACCTTTATTTACAGTGAACTAATACAAATTAGTAGTATAGCTATCTTAACTATTATATATATAAATATATATATAAAATATTATATTTACTTTTTTCCCTCTTTTCT